TTTTTAATAAAATTTGGCAACAACCTTTTGCATCTATTAAAAAACAATACTTACGGGGCAATGTTTATTGTAAGAACAAAATTTTTTTCTATGAATCGACATACTTTAAGCATTGTTGACGCTATTTCCATTTGAATGAGGAAATAGCGTCAATGACTTTATTTCCAAATTTTTGTTGACTTTATTTCGCTTTTGAAAAGGTAATAATGTCAATTGACTTTATTTCGCACCAGGGTGGGAAATAAAGTCAATTGACCTTATTTCCATTGACCTTATTACCTGTCACCTGGTTTTTAGACGAAAAATAAGAATATTTGAAATTTTTGGAGAATGGGCGTAGCCACGCCCACTTATGATTATTTCTGTATAACTTAGTAACCGCTACACCAATTTCTCCCCAACTTTGCACAGTTGTTCACCTTGGTACAGTACGGTAATTTTGAGAAATACGAAATCTTCGATAAATCAGTAAATGCAGAAGCTACTTTATTCAAGAAATTCGTTTATGATAAAATTCTGGAAAATGGGCGTGGCACCGCCCACTTATGACTAGGTATGTGTATCTCGGTAACCATTCGATCAATTTGTAACAAACTTGGTAAGATTATTTCGTTTGCAACATAACCGCAAAACGTTAAAAATTATTGAAATCGGACTAAAATAACGCCCACTTTCATATAACGGTAAATTTCAAAAATGTTTGAAACTTCGGCATTTCTAAATTTAAGGACGCTAATTTACTCAAAATTGATACTACCAACAATCCCTTGAAAAGAAGTAACATTATTTGGAATTTTGGAAAATGGGCGTGATACCGCCCACATATGACAATATAAGTTTATCTCATTATGTCTAACTGAACGTTCTAAACGTAAAACCACCCTGGCTACCACGTAGTTGTAGTTTTCGGATTCTATAATTTTGGTGGTGCCTCGGAGATGGTCCCATACTAATTTGATTTAGATCCGATCATTGGATCATGAAAAATGAACGGTATTGTTAAATTTGTCTATGAGAATATAAGTCGGTTTTGTTTTTTTGCTTACAAATTACTTGTTCTTTTTTTAGTGTTGGGTTCTCCGCTGGCACAAAAGTTGTAAAGGGAAATCTAATCTACGGTAAGTTTAGACGTCTTATTTGAGACACCATGTCGAATTTTTCAAAACGTCACACTGTTTTTGATGGATGGCGTCTATGTGATCATTTTGACACCTTAATCTTTGTAATCCGTCCTATAGAACTTTCGCCATCGTTCTGTAATGGTTGACGTGATGTGGAAATGAATTTTACGCCGCTTCCCTAACACCGTTATGTTTGGCACGTTCCCGTTCGTGATCTAAGCATCGTACAAAAAAAAAATGTCCGTACAAAAGTTGTGGAGAATAAAATTCTATACAACTTTGGCATATTAATGTGCCAGAAATCGTTGAAAAATGACTAAAACCGTGACAACGTAAATTTTTTCGGCGTTTATGCTAAATATTTACAACAACATTTTTTTTCGCTTATACATACATATTGTCGCTTAAGGTACAAAACCGCATATCGTCATTCTGCAAAACCGCGTGACTGACATTTGCTGCCAAAAATTGGATTTGCTCACAGAAGCTCTTGGCTTAGTCCTTATCAATTCGCCCTGAAATATGCTAGCCAGAAATGCGATTGCTNAGCGTTGTAAAAAGAGAACCATTTTGAAATATGAGTGTTTTTAATAATAATAATAATAGATTGGCGCTTACACATATGTTAGTGTTTGGCCGAGCTTCTCCTCCAACTTGTGGCGTGCGCCTTGATATTGTCACACAAAGCGGAGGGACCTACAGTTTTACGCCGACTCCGAACGGCGATTGTATTTTTATGAGAAGCTGTTTTTCATGGCAGAAATACACTCGGAGGTTTGCCATTGCCTGCCGAGGGACGACCGCTGTTAATAAAAACCTTTTTTCTAAATTTTTTGCGATGTTGCTTTGACCAGGGCTTGAACCCAGGTGCTGGTGAGTGAAAGCGCGCACTGCTTACCACTACACCATAGCGGCCGTTTTTACTCTCTAGAAAATAATTTATTCAACTTCACATACGCGGTTTTGCATTATCTTGATACGCGGTTTAGCATTTTGTTGATACGAGGTTTTGTACTTTAAACGACGATATGTATGTATATAAAAATGTGTGAAATTAAATTCTCTACAAATTTGTATGTAACAATTTTTTACGAAAAATGTAAAATAAGCTTGCAAATCGCAAAAAACCAAAAAAAAACACGTAAGAGCAGCGCTGTCTTCGGCTATGCCGAAGGCTTCATACCTTTCATGAGCATCTGAAATTTTTTTTAACAGATTACTGTATTTGAATAAATTTATATATTCGCAGCAGGCATAGATAGAGGAGATACATATATAAAAAATCACATCTAAACAATCAGAGGTATGGAAGATATACCTTATATACCACCAATCTAAGTGATTTTCACTGCTGTGTGATCGGTACGTAAACCGGTAACACAATTTAATGGGTTTAGCTTCCTACATAAAGGAGATACATATATCGCAAAAACTGGTATCTGAACAATCAGTGGTACAAGAGATTAAGATTATACAGCATAGATTTTGACGATTTTCTCAGTAGACTTTGTATTATTATTTAAAAAATAGCTTACGAAATTTATCTGTTTTAGCTGTCCAAATAAAGGAGTTTTACAGTAAAACCCCACATCTGAACAGTCAGTTGTATGGGGGCAATAAACAGGTTATAGTGACCCGATATTTGTTAATTTTACTGTAAACTTTCTGTTGATAATGAGTGAAAATAGTGCGAAATTTCATGTTTCAAACTGTATAGATGGAGTAGTTATAACAAAAAATCGCATATCTGAACAATCAGTTGTATGGGAGCTATATGTAAAAGTAAACCGATCTTTGTTATTTTCACTGTGTATTCTGTTGTTAATGGGTGGAAGTATTGCTAAATTTCATGTTCCTAGGTGCATAAATGTAGGAGTTATAACGAAAATTCCCATAACTGAACAATCAGTTGTATGGGAGATATATGTTATAGAGATGCGATCTTTGCTATTTTCGCTATTCTGTTAATAATGAGTGAAAACGGTGCGAATTTTCATGTTCCTAGCTATTTAAATGGAGGAGTTATAATGAAAAATCTTATATCTGAACAATCAGTTGTATGGGAGCTATAGGTTATAGTGACCCGATCTTTGTAATTTTCACTCTAAAATTTCAGTTGATTATGGGTGGAAGTATTGCAAAATGTCATGTTCTTAGCTGGGTAAATAGAGAGGTTATAACGAAAAATCTCATATCTGAACAATCAGTTGTATGGGAACTATATGTTATAGTGGTTCGATTCTTCCGGTTCCGACAAATGATTAATACATTATAAAAATACACCCACCTACCAAATTTGATCCGGATATCTCGAAAACTGAGAGACTAGATTGCATACAAACAGACGGACAGACAGACAGACAGACAGACGGGCAGACGGACAGACGGACATGGCTAAATCGACTCAGCTCGCCGTTCTGACAATTTAAGTATACATTTTAATGGGTCTATCTCTTCTTATTCTGGTACTTACAAACATCGGACCAAAGTTATAATACCATTTCATGCTCATGAAAGGTATAAAAAATCGACGATGGCGGAATGTTCCCATGTGAAGTTTAGGGGCAAGACTGTGGATCAGAGCTGTAGGAAACCGTATTATACGTTACTGAGTAACGGGTACAACCCCTGACTCGAAGTAACGAATCATAAGAAACCAACAAAAGAGAGAGAATTGAGAGAGCAAAAGTAACAGATGAACTTGCAAGTTTTACTGGATTTTTACTGGATAAATTTTTACTAGTAACTATTTGCTAGTAAGAAAAACAGCTGATAGATTGATGCTTAATGCAATTCACATTACCATAAGAATTGTTTGTGGTGCTTTTAGAGTTGCAGTTGACAAAATAAACCTATTTAAATATATATTAAGACGGGAAATACTATTTTTCTTAGAAGATTGCATCGGAAAATAACAAATTAATCAGCTGTTCATAAAACTTGCAACTTCTTACTGGTTTTGCGTTTTCGTACTTTCTTGCATATTCCTCTCATTGGGACTAAATATTGACTTACTCTCCTAAATTTGGTTACTGGCAAGTTATTGGATATTTTTTGCTGGAGAATACGAAAACACAACTTTTAGATATAGAGATCGCTTAGCGAAGTTCGCTACTACAATTTTTTTCTTCGTACGAATTTGATCTAAATTTACTGGGCTTATAGTTGGTGGCCGCTGCGGTGTGGCGCTTCCCCTTTATGGACAGCATCAAGGCGCACGCCACAAATCGAAGGAGAAGTTCGGCCAAACACTAAAAGCCTGATTATGGCAACTTAACTTAATTTAACGGTACGTAGAACTTAGAGAATCAAAATGAAACAGATTTCGACGTGGCATTAAGTTGCATTAAGTTTCGGCTGTTCAATTATAAGCAACACCCATTTAACAGAATTTTTAAGAGAGAGCCGTAAGTTACGTTAAGTTGCCATAATCAGACCATAACCCATGTGTAAGCACCAATCCATTAATTAATATTATTAATAGTTTTCGAATTGTTTTTCCCATTTTCTGTCTGTTTCACAGCTTGTCGAAAGTTACTTGTTTTGTACCGCTCAGTGCGCTTAGGACATTTGACGTGATTCAGCCCATGTGTATAAATAAAAATAATTGCATTGATTTTGTCAATTTGCTAAAGTGGATTCATTGTTGTAGGTATTGAATTTATCCACTAAAGTAAAAAGTTATGCATTTATGTATACCTATGTAAGTATGTATTAACCGAAAATAGCTTGATTGTTTAATTGTTCGAGGTTACTGGTCTAATCCTTATTTGCTGGGAGTTTTTTTTTTTTTTTAATTTTAACTTTTATATAAAGTTACTGGTTTCATATGCTTCAATATGAATTTTTATTATGCAGTGTAATTCTATAACACGCATATTATTTTGAAAATTTCGTTTAGGTTCTTTTATTAGCTTTTGGCTTAGTTTTCATTTTGATATTCCTTTCATTTTAAATTTTTTATCAAAAACAAATTTTCAAATTACATACTTATACACATACATGTGTGTCTATGTATGTATGTACATATTCAACTGCCAATAACTTAAATTTTAGCACTTATGAATATTTAAATTTTTAACATAATTGTTTGCATGAATTTTTGAAGACACAACAGTTTCGGGTCCAGTTCCAGGAAGTATAATTTCATGTGATTTTGTTCCGGTTTCTCCTCTTCTCTCCACCATATTGCACGCAGTAAAAATAGCTTTAACCAATGTAATGGTTATTGTTAGGTCTTGAAGCCATCAAGATGCGTCAGTTGTGCGGAGGTCTGTTGAGTAGGGGTCGGTTGCCCCGATTCAATGCTTTCTCTATGTACTGTAATTGAAGAAATTGATTTTAATCTGTCATAACATTTTTAACGGTGCCTAAAATGAAACTAAAGCATTTTGGAAGCACATGAAATTGGAATAGACAAATTTGGAAAAAATTGACGTGTTTGATTAAAATCATTTGCCGAATTAGTCGTATAGTGGTGCGGATTATAAGTTGAAAAGCAGTCTGGCGACTGTATACCTGCAGATTGCATACGGTTGTATAAATTCTTTTTCTTCTTTTTTAAGATGAAATCCAAATTATAGCCATCTGAATTCGTTCTGTCAATTACAGTTAAATAGGAAAATCGAGTGTTATTTCGATGTACATATTTGGCTGTATGCAGATTTTTATATGTTCATAAAAACTCACTTTTCAATGCGGTTCATTCCCAATAAATCCTTGAAGGAGAGATATATTTTGTTGAGTGTCAAATTTGGTAGTCCCTGTCCCAAGAACCGAACAAATTTGACCTGCTCACACTTGGGTAAGCCACTCTCATGGAAGTCCAAAAAGGGTCTATGATCGGAAATCTTATATTCCTGCATATATAAAAAGGTGATACAAAGTCATATTATAAAGTCATGCATGCATTTGTATATGCATAATATCTATATATGTATATACATATAACCAAGGCCGTATTTAGGGGGGGAGGGTTGTAGGTTTCTTTGTGCAATATTAAAAACATTCAACAAACTTTCGTACAAATTTCGAGCTTTTTTAAAAATTCTAAAAAATCAACCGTAATTTTTAGCCATTTGAAACTTGTACTTTATTCTACTAGAATTCAATGGGCTACAAAATTGCATACTCAGAAACTAATTAAAAACTGGAAATTTTTACGAAAATTCGTTGAATTTTTTTTGAATTGCATAAATCTTTAAGGCAGTGTCACTCGATTGGTACATTTGTACAGATTTGTGCATTTTTAAATTATTGGGCTATTGGTACAAAAATAAAAAATTGGGACAATTTTTGTTTTTTGTAGTCAAAAGCTTGGTAAAAAAATAACCAAAACTAAATAACAACAAAAATAATATTTTAAAACTTGTCAAAATTTGGTGCGGCTATAATTTGTTCGGGTACTGTATATAAGTTACTATGATTACTCGGCCGTGTTAACATAGTACCACAATACCACTAATATTTGACTTACAAACAAAATACGGGCAGGAATTTCAAAATTTCAACCCTGTTTGTGTAAAATATTTTATTTTTATCAGTAATTTTCTTTTAATCAATGTATGTTGAAATAAAAGTGTAAATAAAAAAAATATTTTGTCAGCGGCATTTTGAAGTTAACATTCTAGTTGGGATGTAAGGAAGAGGTCGAACCTTCTCAAACTAACCCCGAAGAAAGTAGGAGCACGTAATACTGCCTTAACAGCAGTTTACACTTAACCCGGCGGTCCTTACCACTTTCCAGCCAAATCTCTCTTACTTTAATAAAGCCCCTTTACCAAGAAATGTATGTAGAATGCAGAGCAGTTGTTGCTGAGCTCTCTGATAAACAAAAAATTTTCAGGTAAAAGTGTCACCGTTATTTTTATTTTTTTGAATTAAAAAAAAAATCGTGCCTTTTCATGTATTTTCCTTTAACTGCACCTACAAACCAGGCCATACTTAGTAAATTTTTTATGTAAAATACTTCCAGATAGTTGCTTCTCCAAACTCAAATGCAATGTAGTTAAAATATATTAAGGAACCATCATAAAATTAGGACTAATTTGGGATTTTTGATATTTTCTTCCCCAACTTTGACTCTGGTGAAAAAAAATGTACTGAGCTATAACTTTGCATTACATAAAAAAATTGTTCATTTAATAAAGATTTCAGAAAGGTGCCACTCTCACTGTTTCGGATAGAAAAAAAGTTATATCCACTTTTGTGGGTAAAGGACTGAGACACGCTAGAATGTATTTAATAGATTTAAATT